GGCTACGATGAGGAAACAATGATTGAGCACGTGAGTAGTCGCCTTTGTGACTATTAATCATATCATGAGCTCATCATTGTGGCAGGGCGTGGTGTGGGCCGACGACCAAGATCCTTTCGGGCACATCATGAACGCAGGCTTCTCCCACTTCGCGTCTTCATGCAACTTCCGCGTGTTTGAGAGCTTTGAGGCGCAGCTCGGTGACAAGATCAACGACTTCATCAATGCAAAGGGCATCGGGGTCATGGTCAAGCAGTTCACCGTTGACATCAAAAGACCCGTTTCTTACCCCGACTCGGTAAGTCGGGCCGTTATAGTCTTGGGGGCCAATTGCCATGCCTTGGCGGTTCGCCACGCTGACATTGCCATATGGGAATCAGATCATCTGTGCCGTTCGGCTAGGCGAAGTAAGACCCGATCGCTACTTCATCACCACGACCATGTGGTCTCTTAGGCAGCAAGCTCCAGTGGCCGAGTCGGAAGGATGGATCGTGTTCTTCGACTACGGAAAGGGCAAGGTTGCGAATCTGGTGGAAGCCGGGGGTGTTCATAAGGATCTTTACGAAGCTCTGAGCGTCAAGTGCTCGAAGATGAATGAGACTGCCGCAGCTTGGAAGAAGGCCCAGCCTCAAAAGAAACAGCACAAGCTGTGAAATTTGAACACAAACATTGATAACGAGCATAGCCATTGATAAGTAGGCGACTATGTGGCAGGCGTAAATGGACCACCGGAAGGTTACGAACGACAAAAATGTTTAGGCTGATGAAATCGGTAGTCGCATAGTAAACCACAATCTGGGCAATCAAAACCAAGTGTTGAATAAAAGCTATCTCAGGTTACATGGGATGTATCCGCCTTTACTCGTTTGACGTGTACTTCTCGGGCAGCTTCCAGGGAGGCAGCACATCAAAGACAGCAATGTCACCCTCAACATCGTACAACTCTGACTCATTCGCAGGATAAGGCCTCTGAATCTCGTACCCAATGTGTCTAGCCATCCGCTCAAGAAAGCTACCCGCCTCAGTTGAATAGTAAGGCAGCTGACGTCTCTCGTATCCAACAGGCCAATCATCATCTAGGTAAAACTTCTTCACGTCCTCGATGTACAACGTGGTTGGTCCATGCTTACCGCGACGGCCTAGGACACCAAACAAGTTGGCATACTGCGCCAACGAGCAGACAGCGCCGTGGTTGCCGAACCTGAACTTGGGGTTTATGGCCTTGGACTCGTTGTGTCGGCGGTGGTGGTGCTCCGCGGCGTCTTCAAGCGTTAGAGTCTCGCCATCCTTTGAGGCTGAGAGGAGCTGCTCGAAGAGGGTGTGGTTCATGTTGACGTTGTCACCCATGCCCCTGTCGTTTCGGGTCGGCGCGGCGATGCAGTTGACTATGAACTGCACGGGGTCGTCGTTGAAGTTATCAAGGTCGATACGAGGGCCGGGATGTAATTGGCTGGTCGGGCTTAGTACAAGTGCGATCTGCAGGCTGTGAGTGGATGGTCGTATTCAGCAGGCAACAAGCGGCTTACATTGTCATCACCAAAGTTCCACACCACCCGCATAGCCTGTGCGATGTCGTCGTAGCTGATGTTGCGGCCGGAGCGGTTGATAAAACCGCGGTTGGCGAGTGTGTTCAGCGCTGGACATGAAGCTCGCCGATAGTAGCCGTCGCCTGAGCCGTTGGTTTGTTTCTCATAGTAATTGGTCTTTTCGTCCCATGTGAAAGGTTCCTTGTAAGGCGTGGGGTTCTTCGGGTCGGGGATGAAGAGGTCGTTGTGACCGATGGCGACTTGGTCCCGCGCAGCCAAGATCCACTCCTGATGACTAGGAAAGGAAAATGCAGAGGGCAAGATGGCTGCAAAGAGCAACAGAGCGCTTTCGAGGTTCAACATATTTGCAAGAAGGCTGGGTATGCACAGATTAAGAATGTTGGGACTGTGTTTCCGTAACAGCCCTTTTATGTTGTCCGAACGTTCCTTCAAAAGAGCCCAAGGACTCATACTATGTCTCGATCATGGTACAAATCCTAAGGGAATCTCGACACCTGGATCGTTTGCTTGTCTCCGAGCTCGTCATAAAGTCGAAAAGCCGCCTCGCCACATTGCTAGTTGGCACGAAGCAGGCAGAAGTTTGTGATGGCAAAATCCTTTGTCACAATCACCGCCATTTCGGTGTTCATCCTTCGAGAATGGATGGAAGCAGATGCAGGCAGAACTTGCGAAAAGGGAATGAAGGAAGAGCGAAAACTCGGACAGGTCACAAACTACATCAGAACGAGCATAGACAGGTCGTGAAAACATGGTCTTGAGGCACAGGCCTTGGCACGGATCTCACTTTGGCCATCCTTCGTATCTCAACGCGTACATATCTCACCGATATCATATTGTTCCCTTCATTGTCAGATGAGCAATCACATTCTCGCACTTGACATGAATTGTTGAAGCAGGCCCGGGCCGAACCAGCCGCATCAAGTCCTGTAGTTTGCCCGCGGACAGGTGAACAATTAAATGACTCAGTGGTTTGGTGCCTAGATACGAGTCTTATCCGAGATGAATGGCAAACTGCAATATTCTGTCCTATTTGGGATGCTGATGTCGTATGAACCCTTGCTTAGGAACCATCGAGGCTTATTCTTTGTTCGTCATCCACTGAGGTCTCGGGCAATTGTCAGCGTGAAATGGCGCAGTAAGGCATAGAGACTAGGCGACCGGCGGGAAGATGACCACTTCTGGATTGTTGTCTCAATTCAGTTTTGGCCTCATTGACCTTGCATGGAACAAATTATTGGTGTTAAAAGCGACGTGTTTCTCGAGATGCTGAAGATGTGTTCTCATCAGCAGTACAAGCAACTACTTACCTCATCACACCATCTTCCATCCTTCAGTCGACATGCGACTTCTTTTATCCATTACCAGTCTCACGGCCGCTGTCAATGCTCTAGCTGTAAGGGCTGATGGAAATGTCACATCTTCAACAGCAGTAGCCACTCCCACTGCCTGGACCGGGTTCCCAACTCCCACACAATACGCACTCCCACAGAATGACCAAAACCTCCAAGAAAGGAATGTCGAAATCAAGCTCAAGCGTGACACCATAACCTACGTACCCTCGATCATTGGAGAAACCTCTCTCTTCATGGGAGGTTCTGTTGGAACCCAGATAGTTAGACAGGAGCAAGCCAAGTGGATCCAGGACTTGACTCCAGTGCAGCAAGATGCCTTCAGGGAGGGTAACGCATCGCTCAAGGCCATTCAAGATGTAAGTTCACTTTGGTTCCCAGAAAAGCCGGTCGCAAATATAACTAATCATTTATAGCATGGCGGACTCAAGACTTTGGAAGACTTCAAGATCCTGTACGATGGCCACTGGTCAGGCTCAGTACCCGGCGGCATCGCCCAAGGCCAATTCAGCAACTTCACCTCAGACCTCCTCTTCGCAATGGAGCGGCTGTCTACAAATCCCTACGTTGTCCGTCGCCTCAACCCGAACTCCGACAAAATCCCATTCTCTGTCGACGCCAATAACGTCACCCATCTTACGGGGACAACCCTCGACGCCCTCTTCAAGTCCGGCAGTCTGTTCCTGGCAGACCACAGCTATCAAGCCGAATACACAGCCCAAGATGGCCGTTACTCAGCCGCCTGTCAGGCGCTCTTCTTCCTCGATGAGAGGTCCGGGCACTTCCTCCCACTGGCCATCAAGACCAATGTCGGCTCCGACCTGGTTTACACACCCCTAGATGACCCCAATGACTGGCTTCTCGCCAAGATCATGTACAACGTGAACGACTTCTTTCATGGCCAGATCTACCACCTCGCCAACTCCCATGCTGTCGCTGAGATTGTCAACCTGGCTGCCATCCGCACGCTCAGCAGTCGGCATCCCGTCTTCGGACTCCTGCAGCGACTCATGTTCCAGGCGTACGCCATCAGAGCGACCGGTGAGGTTGCGCTGTTCAACCCGGGTGGGCTGTTTGATCAGAGCTTTGCGTTCTCCAACGTGTATGCGAGGAAGTTTGCGACAGATTTCTATCCCACCGTCGCTGGGCCATTCCAGGCGAACTACTTTGAGGAAGACCTCCGTGCGAGAGGGCTGTTGAACGCCTCCTACGGTCCGGAGCTGCCTCATTTCCCTTTCCACGAAGATGGCCAAAAGATTTTCGACGCCATCCGCACGTTCATTGAAACCTTCGTCGATACGATCTACGAGTCTGACAAAGTTCTGACTGAAGATTCGGAACTCCAGGCCTGGATTACCGAGGCCAACGGTCCCGCCAAAGTAGTCGACTTCCCTCCCGCCCCGATCAACACCCGGAAGCAGCTTGTTGAGATCCTTACGCACGTGGCCTGGCTTACAGGCGTTTCCCACCACGTCCTGAACCAAGGCGAGCCCTTCACCACCTCAGGAGTCCTGCCTCTCCATCCGGCTTCGCTGTACGCCCCCGTGCCAACAGCCAAGGGCGGCATTAAAGATCTTCTCCCGTGGTTGCCGAACGAGCAGAAGTCTGTCGAGCAGATCTCGCTCCTGGCACGGTTCAACAGGCCAAAGATTGTTGAGAACAATGAGACGCTGCTCCACATGTTTCATATTGAGACTCTGCTCTCTGGCACTGGAGAAGCTGTGAAGACTGCCAATGAACAGTTCATGATGACAATGGGCACGATCAGCAAGGAAATCAGCACGCGCAAGTTTGACGACCAAGGATTGAGCCAAGGAATGCCATTCATCTGGACGGGTATGGATCCTGGGGTGATCCCATTTTATCTTAGTGTTTAAACAATTCCCCTTGTGAAAGGGAGAGCGGAAACTATCAAAACGACATGTTCAAAACAAATGCTATGTATCCCGTCTCTATACTCTTGAAAATCAACCTACCTACGTATATCGTGGAGCTTTACTCGCCGTGCAGTGTCTATCATCGTCGTCTATCGTCGTCTATCGTCGTCATCTATCGTTGTCGTCCATCGTCGCTATCCTTATCAATACCCCTATCTTGATGCCACTCACGGCATCTTGGGAATCGGCACAAGCAACTTCGCCACCGGCTGCGACCGAGTCCAAGAGCGGTCATGGCAATCTCTATCCCTCGACCAGTCCATCGACAGCTGTCTTTGAGCATCCAAGAAATCCGTCGCATCATATGCAATGCCAAACTTCCTTTGGAACCATGTGTCACACAGCCGCAGCTCCATGAACTCATACGCATCCACACCCCCAAAGACCTTAGGATACCCATCGTGCACATACCTACACTCGCGACAGAGTCTGGGGGGTGTGACGTACGTGTTGCGATACCTGAGGATTTCTTTGAGATTGACGTCGTAATCCAGTGCGTCAAGGTCTAGGAGCCACAACTCCTTGACGTCGGTGAAGATGTCATACAGGATGCGTAAATTCATGTTTCCTGAGGGCATGTCGTAGTTCAGCCTGCGCTGGGGATACCAAGGGTACCATGGGACATAACCTGGGGTCTGGCCGGTTGTTACCCAGTCCGTCGGATAATTCCCGTCGGCAACGTTGTCAGCACCGTACTGCTCAAGAAGTTTCCAGGACCTTGCTCGCCCGTCATCCATCAACTTCAGCCACTTGCCGAGGTAGTTGCTATAGGCCTGGTCCTTCCAGTTGTCCATAGTCACAGCGATGGCCTTGAGGTCACCGCACAGCGGGTCGAAGAACAAGGGCTTCCCGATCCACGTCACCGGCATGGTTTGGTTTCCGGGGAAGTGGACGAGGACGAGATCCTGCAACCTGCAACGCGTTGGGTCGCCGATGAAGGTCTTCGGGGTGTGTCGGCATGCCGCACGTTCGGCTGAGGTCATGGTGGACACGGTGGTCAAGGACCAGTTGCCCTGCTGCTGAGGGAAACGGTTCAACACGTTGAAGCGGTCAGATGCGTCGCGACTTCGGTGGTTAATACTTGCAACGTGCACATCTGGGGTGGAAGACTCAATTGCATGGATGATTTGGCGCCAGCTTGTTTGGTTGGCGACGTCTTGACGTCGAAGGGGGTGGAAGGTGAGGTAGTGGGCATTTTTGCAGGGGCAGGGGGTGATGCTAAACGGAGGGCAATTTGGCTGGTGAGTGCGGTGTTCTCTAAAGTTCACGAAGCGAATCTGCGGTTGGTCAGGTTCCGCAGCACTAGCAACCTCATAGATTTCATCCTGTAGCTCCCCGGGTAGGTTGCAAAAGGGGTGGACAGGAAGATCGTTGAAGCTCCAGGTATTGGAGTTGACGTTGCTCATGTTGGGCTTGAGATGGCGGACGCTATGTGTAAATGGGAGTTTCGTCTCTGTCGTTGTCTCTGTCCTCTGTCGTTGTCCCGGTTGTCTTGTCTGTCGTTATCTCTGGCGTAGTCTTGGTTAAGATGGGTGAGAATTGGTTGAAATGAAGTTGTAACAAGCAAACGTAGTAGTCGTGAGTCTAGTAGATATTATTGATGGTTTGAATGTTGATGAGAGAGAAGCTGATGATGTTGGAGTCGATAACTCGGAATGTTACGATGCCTTCATGATATAGGCCGAGGCCTTGTAAATAACGCCATTGTTAGCCACAGCGATGTTCAAGATCAAAGATTCCATCACATCAACCTGAGCTCAAAGACAGACTTCATGACAAAGTCTATGTGGACTTGGCTCAAAGCAAGTAGTTCGCCGATGTGCATTGCTTTTGTGAAGGTGAAAGAATGAGTACTACCCACAAAGATGAAAGCCGATTCCTTTTCCCATACAATGCTATTGTGCAGGATTCCTCCAACGCCATCCAGAAAGACTTTTGGTGTTACATTCGGGTATCAAGAATAGATTCACTGTCCCCTTCCGATGGGGTAGTTGAACATCAACAGCCCGTTCAAACCGCCAACCCAGCCGTCATCGTCATATTCGGCCGCGTCGCCCTTACCAGGACCGCAGATGACACAGGGTACGCCGCCCTTCCAGTCGCCGCTGCCAGACTCTCCTACCATCTCACCTTCGACGCGGATCTCGGTGCCGATCGGGGCGCCAGCGCTGCGCTTGCCGTCGATACTGACCTCGAGCTCGCCGTCGCGATTCTTGCTACTGACCTTAAGCGTGACTTTGGTGTTGAGGGGAAGCACCAGCGGACGGAAGCTGAGACTTCGGGGGCAGATTGGTGTGATGAGGAGAGATTTGACGAGGGGGTGGATGATGGAACCGCCGGCGCTGAGGCTGTAAGCGGTTGAGCCGGTGGGCGTGCTCAGGAGTATGCCGTCGGCGACGGCTTCTGTGAGGAAGCGGTTGTTCAGGTAGATGTCGATATGGGCGAGGTGTGGTTTCGGGCCACGGTGAATGAGCAGTTCGTTGAGCGCGTGGATAGGCTGTGGTATGTCTCGCTTTGTCAAGATCGTGTCTTCGGGTGGTGTCGCAGGGAGATGCGCCTGGGACTTAGTCGTCGGCAACAGCTGGCTATTGATATTCTGGCCATTCGTGTCGAAAACCCCGACTCGCAAGCGGTGTCGAAGGAGGATCTTCGCCGCCCTGCTCGGTCCCATACTCTTTCCGGGAGAATGATGCCATCCGTTCTCCTTGTTCTTCGGCTCGTGCTCCATCTCTCCGCTGGCGACCCTCGTGTGCGGCCCCATCAGATCCTCGGTCGCAACCCCGCTGCCGCTCATATATGCCTCCCTCCACGCTCTCTTGTATTCCTCAAACTTCCACTCGGCCAGGAACCCGATCGTACCAAAGTTGAAAGCGAGAATCGGTGGTACAGAGGAGTACATGCTAAAGTGGCTGGCTGCGCGCAAGATCGTTCCGTCGCCGCCTAGTGTGGTAATCATGTCGATCTTGTCGGGGAAACTCGAGGGATCGCAGGTGTAGATGGGGAAGTTGAGCGACTCGTGGACCATCGTCGCAACTCGCGGCTCGAAAATCAGGTTGAGGCCTGTATATGTGCTATTCAGGTGCTTTGCAAAATCGATCGTCGCACGCAGGACTTGGGGTGATCGCAGCTTCGGCATTAGGAGGATGTTTCGTGGTGGTGTCGGCCAGTGGAGGGACAACAGGCCTGAAGTCGAGTTTGGGGGATCTCGGTACTTCGGGACTATTCTTCGAGGAAGAGAGGAGACTTCGCGGATTTCGGCGGCACGTGCTGCGCTCGTCGTCGAGAAGTTCAACGGTCGAAAAGCTCGAATCGGCCCCGCCATGGGCAGGCGAGCTCGACTGCTGAGCGCCCAAATCCTGGACATTATGGGCAGATGTTCGCTTCAAAATGATACGAAGGGCCTTCAAGAATGGTTCATGGTCAAACGTGACGGCCAAAAACCTATCGCTGAGGCGGTTGGACCTGTCGCGCGTGGAAGCTTGTGTGGAGGAAGAAGCGGCAGAATGAATTAGCAATGACGACAATTCCATTTGCCAGCCCCACCTGAGCTCTCACCGACTGAGTGACTCTGACCACACCGAGCTGAGTCATCCCGGAGAACCCGGATGGCCCCGCTTCGGGCCCGAGCCGATGGAAGCCGGTGGGGCATCTTCGGCCAGTACAAGCCGTCACCACTTTTCGGCAAATGAACGATAACTTTTGAGCTTTGCTATGAATGGGAGTTGCCATGCATGAGGCCATGAATGGATCAGACGAGGTGTATGCGTACATAGCATACGAACGGAGTGTTGGAATAGAGTATATAAGACTCATCAAAGGTTCCGATGCTCACTCACTTCTCCGTCGCAAGGATGAGCGCTGCACATTGGGGGTGGTGGAAGCGAATTCGATGTGTATTTTATCGCCGATGACAAGCCCCGACTATTACTACGTCCATATCAACAGAATTGAACCCCCAAGATAGATGCCTAACTGACTACTCCTCCACCGGCTCCTCCTCCTCATATGCTTCCTCGGCCTCGTCGTCATCCATACCAGCATCCTGATACTGCTGATATTCTGACACGAGATCGTTCATATTGGACTCCGCCTCCGTGAACTCCATCTCATCCATGCCTTCCCCAGTGTACCAATGCAAGAACGCCTTTCTGCGAAACATGACGCTAAACTGGTCCCCAACCCGCCTGAAAATGTCCTGAATAGCCGTTGAATTTCCGATGAAAGTCGAGGAAGCATTCATTCCAACAGGTGGGATAGAACAGTGCGCCGTCTGCACATTATTCGGAATCCATTCCACGAAATATGCGGAGTTCTTCGCCTGCACACCACGGATCTGCTCTTCAATCTGCTTTGTCGACACCTTTCCGCGGTAAATCGCAGAGCAGGTCAAGAACCGCCCGTTCCGGAAATCCGAGGCCGACATGACATTCTTCGGATCGAACATCTGCTGTGTCAACTCAGCCACCCCGAGATTCTGGTACGCCGCCGCAGTTGTCAGCGGCGCAAACCCAACAGTGAAGAAATGCAGCCTCGGAAACGGCACCAGATTCACGGCCAACTTCCTTAGATCCGCATTCAACTGTCCGGGGAAGCGGAATCCCGTCGTCAGCCCGGACATCACCATGGACACCAGCTTATTCAGATCCCCATACGAAGGATGCGCCTGCTTCAGCGTCCGGCGACAGATATCGTACAACGCTTCGTTATCGATACAAAACGTCTCGTCGCTGTTTTCGACAAGTTGATGGACCGACAGCGTTGCATTGTACGGCTCCACGACGACCTCCGACACTTTGGGCGACGGCAGCACCGAAAAAGTAGCCATCATCCGGTCCGGGAACTCTTCTCTCACCTTGGCGATGAGCAGCGTGCCCATGCCCGAGCCCGTTCCGCCGCCCAGCGAGTGCGTGATCTGAAATCCCTGCAGGGAATCGCACGTTTCGGCCTCGCGCCGCACCACGTCTAGGACTTGGTCCACCAGCTCCGCGCCTTCGGTATAATGCCCCTTGGCCCAGTTATTGCCCGCGCCGGATTGGCCGTGAACCATGTTATCCGGACGGAAGAAGTTGCCCAGCGGGCCCGAGCGGATCGCGTCCATTGTCGCCGGCTCGAGGTCCACGAGGACCGCGCGGGGGACGTATTTGTTGTTGGAGGCTTCGGTAAAGTAGACGCTCAGGCGGTCGGACTGTTGCGTGGATTCGCCGCGGAAGTAGCCATCTTGGTCCAGGCCATGTTCATCATGGATTGTTTGCCTGTTCAGTCACTCGGTGTAAGCTCGAGTCTCAGGAGGGACGCTTAGGGGATGTACCAGAAGGCAGTTCCGACTTGGTTGCCCTGTAGCAAGCCGTCAGCGAGACGTCAATGACACAGGACAGACGGCGACTTACACATTGACCGGTCTGGAGGTGGATCTGTTGATGACATTCGTCAGTAAGGCTTACTCACACTTTTCCCAGCTTACGATGGTGACCACGCAATACTTACGATCTCACGCATACTGAAGGCAGGAACACTTGACTGAAATGATGGAAAGGGGGTACACAAAACCAGTGTCTTCACCTGAGCATTTCCAGGGACATATCCACCATTTATCAGGTATCATTGCCGAAACAACACGCCCCTTAACGCCGAAAATGCCTACCCCCTGATTCGTCCGGACTCCTCGGGCCCTCCGCCGCCTTTCGGCCCAAACCTCCGGAGGGGCCCAGACCACCGACACGGTCTTGTTTAAACGGATGCCTGCACCCGGTAAGCGACTGCCTATCCGTTTTGAAGAAGCCTGGAATCCACGTGCGGTACATGAGTTTGTGCGTGGTGGGACAGGCCATCTTGAGTCACGCCGCGACATTTCTCAGATTGGGTGGATCCTGCATTACAAATTCGGGCGATGTCGGTTGGCGCCCTTCGTCGCTTTACGTGATGTTTACACGGTGGAAAATGAATGACGGTTGCTGCAGGAACAGAGCAGATGGCTTGGGACTTCTGTGTGTTATTCGGCTGCCTGGGGGCTTTCGGCGTTTGGGTGTTGCCACTGGTGTGTTGGCGCAGGCAGCTGCATTCTGTGCCGCATGTCGGTTGGAACAGAGCGAATGGGCCACTCTCTTTGTTTCAAAAGAGGCAGGTTGTTGTATTTGCAATCGATCCAAGTATTTCGTCTGAAAACAAAATCTGTTCTGTCTGGGGAATATCGTTATCTGGAAGCCTGGTGGGTGCATGGAATCAAGATGGAAGCGACGCACAGCAAGAAACTGGTCACTTTTCTTTTTTGACTCCGGCAACAGATTGCGCCTTAGCAAATTGGATAATGGTATTGTAACATTGTGTTAAAAACTTACAAGTACCTTCGAAGCCTCCCAGTCAATTACAACATTGATAACTAATACCTCATGTTGAGTCCGATTCCTCGAACCCCCTAATCATGCTGTCAAAGAATGCCGCATCCACTCCTTGAAATGCCCAGTCTTCCACTCCTACAGAGAACCCAGAACGATAAAGCTGATGGCTTGGGCCATCTGTGAGCCAATTGCCCTCAGTGCTTGGATGCAATAGGAGACCTTGATCGGAGCTGAAAGGCACGCTTGGTCCAGGTCCTGCTCCGGTTGTCTCATCCATCTCCATCAGCGCAGCCGGCGAAACGGCCGAAGCGGTACAAGCATCGATACGCGCTTGTTCTTGCTGGACTTGGTGATTGATCGGCCTGAAAGGCTCACGCGAAAGCAGCGCATCGGGCGAGATAGTGACGGTGCCATAGCACGGGATCTTGAGCCGCAGAATACTCGACTCTCCCCCATGAACCTCTCTGCTTTCCGAAGATGGTGTCAACATCGAGCCAGTTGTTGAGTTTGTAGTAAATGCTGAGCATCTTGCTGCATGAGCCTCGATATCTAGTAGTCTCACCAGGACATCCGCACTTTTCATCGCCAGCATGTCGGTCGACGTCGAGCTACCCTCTCGCATCAGGTCCAGCGTCTCTTCTATCTTGTCACGATCTGTATGTCTCTGGTGCGCCAGCACATCGTTCCCACCATCCCGTCTGCGCGCATCAATATGAGCCAGGAGAAGAGTCATGGCGGCTATGAGGGCGAAGAAATCTGCGGCATCGGGGATGCTACACACACCTATGGCGCTGCGTATAGTCACAAACCGCGAGAGTATTTCGCGGGATGCATCGACGCAGGCGATTCTGCTGGTGCTTGCCGCACCAGAGGGTGTGCTGCGAAGCATAAAGGGGAGATGGAGCTGAACCAGAAGGAAGTAGTGAAATATTTGGCCGCAGAGACGCAGGCTTTCTGTCACCGAGTTGAGTGCTTTACTGCCGAGTGAGGTGAACTTAGGGAGAGTCCACCATCTTGGCGGCATGGCGGCGGCTGCCATGCGCATTTCGAGGTCGAGGGTATGAGTTGTTTCGAACATGCTGGCATGAGAGTCTTTCTGATTCCTTTGAATAATTCTGGATGCAACTGCGCAGTGTACCTGCTCAAGCCTGCATAATGGATGATCGTCGAGGGGTGGAAGGATAGTTCCGTCCGAGGCCAGGCCGGAGTGGTGGTCTCTGGTGCTGTCCGGCAAGCCTAAGAGCAGGCAGATAAAACGTTCAATATAGACTATCCGGAACCAGACGAAGCGAGTATCAGGGGCACCGGAGGGGTCGACTGTCTCGACGGGCGATTGGTCGTGGGGGCGGTGGATGCCCATGAGTTGGGCGATTGATACTGCTCTACGGCAGGCCAAGAGAGATAGTCTGAGATTTCCACCGTTTGCCAGATACACGGTTTGGAGAATGACACACTGAAGAGCGTCGATGGTTCCCATCAGATTGTTGTTTTCACAGACCAGCGAAATCGCCGCATCGGCGAGTCGCTCCATGATCTTGCGTGGGGTTGCTGAGGTTGAGGGCGTGCACTTGTAGGTGGACGGGATCCTCTGCAACATTGTGGCTAGTGTGAGCATCCTTTTTGCCAAGAGGACAGGATGCATGAGGTGGTATAAGCCCGCGACGAAGTGCTCTACTGGTTCTGGTTGAAGACTTTCAAGGACTTGATGCGGCGTGAGCAAGAGTTGAAACACGAGGTCGGCATCTGAATATAGTTCGTGTATGATCTCGCAATCCTTCTTAGATGGTAATGCAGCAGTAAGCTCTTTGAAGAGGGCTGCTAGGGGTCCGTTTTCCGAAGATCGGTGAAGGGCTGGTGTATTGTGGCTGTCATGAAGTAGCTGGTGAAGTGTCCGTTGTGATTCGCCATTGGTGGTCTGTAGTTCTGTGGTTGGTGTGCAAGACGGTGACTTGGGGATTGTAGGCATGCGTTCATGTGTGGTTGCTGGCTGAGAACGCCCTTGTGAACATGATGTATCATGACCGTGAGCAATGCCCTCGTCCGCGCCAAGCTCATCGCCATCATCAGCATCACGCTGTGGAGACCCCAGCGACACAGAGATTCCCCAATTCGACTCAACCCCAATCTCATCCTCTTCATCGATCTGTTGAGTAGACTCCCTCGAATTCTTCCGATACAGCTGCTCAACCAGCCTCTCCATCCGGCCCAATCGGTCCCCGACATTGCCGACCGGGGCCTGCGTCCGCGGCAGGTGATCCTCCGGAAACTCCTGGCTCACGCACGGCGTGCCCTTCTGCCAGCATCGCCGACACGTGTCACGGGGACCGTTTTCGTCGAACAGACAGCGGATCTTGCGCCGCCGGCATTCCCAACAGCTCCGCGTTCCCTTACGGACAGCTCGACGTTTCGTGGCGGCCCGCTCCGAGGCTGTGTGACGGCTGCTGCCGGTGGTCGAATCCGGCGTTGCAGTCATTGCATGATACCCTGGCAGAAGGTATCGATGAAAAAGGTGTGGTGGGTGATGTTGTTCGTTCGAGTCTGGCCGGACGAGATGAGGATTGGGGGATGAAGTTCGTCCGTCTTTTCGTCCGCCGTCGCTCGGACGGATTCGGAATTGTGGGGCTAGGTCTCGTGAACTAAGATGCTATCAAATCTTGAACAACCTCCGCACAGGTACAAAAGCTGAACTCATTTTGTTTTGGATACTCGTAGATAAAGAAGTCCCACTGGATTATCTGACAAACTCTTCATCTTCTAGCTCACGGCGTCTCCCATGCGTTTACATTCACCACCCACGACGAAAAGCAGTTGTTCGGCTTGGAGGAATGAAAGCAAAGCTTTCATCTCCTCTACCCTCCAGTGTTGGAGAGCCCGTTGCCCCGTCACTTCACGTAGATTTGGGTGATTTATGATGAGCTGACGAAAGTCCTCGGCCAAGAACACCTTTGGCATGCCCTCAAATCTCTTAGACCACTTCTCATCCGCTGCTAATGGAACATATGGTCCTGGAATCCAACGGCTGTCTCGATGAGGCGCAGCCAGACAGTCCGTTGAGGTTGGCAGAAGATCCCGCTGTCACACATCATGCATACTTTATCTAAGCGAAGAGCGCATACGGCTCGTCAAAACAGTCATCCCATGTTCTCTTCCCTGAGGACCAAAACTTCTCCAACATTCCAACGGCTGCCAACGGAAGGTAGGTACCCAAGTCTTGGCTCATCGAGACCAACTGTTTCACCACCATCACTCTCCCTGCCGCACTCCCAGTAGACGCCTCGAAGCCAGCAACAATGAGGGGCCACTCTACACAGTTCTTCATCAGTGGCGCCTCCGCCGCCTTCTCAAGGAGGGAAATGAGCCGTCCGTAGTGGATGGTTCTCACAGCTCTCCAGCCCGCCGACGAAGGCAGCGCTCTGAGGCCCTGAAGTGATGATATGGCGTACAGTGCAATAGCAGACTGGTAAGCCTGAGCCATAAGCAGCAGCTCTTCCCGTATGTCAGCATCTCTTGTCTCGACCCAACTCTCGGGCGAGAATTCGATGATGTCTTCTATCAAGTCTTCCGAAGCGGACTGTGGAGTTCCCATGTCTTCGGGAAGACTGTCCGTTGCTATCAGGTAGCGGAGATAGTTGATGCGGATGATGTCGGTGAACAAATCTACGGGGCATGGAAGGAACGGGTAGTAACCAGACTGATAAAGCTCAGCTATCAAGTCGATATTATCGTAGCTGTGATTTGGTTCTGATTGGTCGTCTGCGGGACTTGTTGAGTTCGCGAAGGTTTCAACGCTGTCTACAGGTTAGAAGCCAGGTCTAGCTTGCTTGTTCAAGTGATATGATCTCAAGAAACTGCACGGCGAAGGGACACGCAGGCGGTTCGAATTGGCCACTCACATTTTCGGGAAAAGTAGCATGGGTGCCATGTAAGGTGTCAGGCGGTACACGCTCTCAAACCCCCCTCGAATGTCGACTAGACTTTTGTAGCCGTTCAAGTGGTGTCGCCAGTTGGACGCGGTTGCCGAACCCATCAGCTAGCATAAGTCAGCAATCTTGAGAGAACCCCATCATTTGTATAGGCTCACATCTGCGTATAAGAAGACCATAACACTGGCCATAGTCATGTCACTTCCGCGGGTCGCGTCGTTGCAAACGTCATCGTTGAGAGCTTGTATCGCCAAGCATCGATGGTGGTGGAACCGCGCTCGGATTTCCATCATGAAGGGGTCCGTTTTCTTATGTGACAGACGCAGCATGCGGTGCTCAATGGCCATGGATACCAGAGCGTGCCGGGTGGCGGCAGGCATGTAGTGGATGAACCGAACCGGTATGATCCACGGGCTCTTCATCAACTGGGTCGTTTCAAAGGACGGGTAGACCGACTCGTTCCCTACAGTGTGAAGTAACAAGTTAGCACATACATACAGGCCCAACTCCCTTGAATGCTGGTCACTCACAGTACGAAGTCGCCTCAATAATGTCACACACCTCCGACCGAAGTTCCATTCCAGGGGAGGGAGGAAAGATGTGGACCATCTGCGAGCCGGCTCGCGTAACCGCCTTGTTAGAATCAGGACTACTGTCCTGTTCGGAGGTCGTCTTTGACGATTCCTTCTTTGCGGCTGGCTTCTTCCGCTTCCAGGTGCGAGTCTTGACCTTGCCGGGCGCCAGCCACGTCAACGGTTTCTTGTCCTCATAGCCAGGACATACGACGCCAGTCGCCTTACACTTGCCGCATACGGGACGAACAGCGTCGCAGACAACACGACGACGCTGGCATTCCCAGCACTGCTTTCTTCCACCGCCAGCGGCAGGGTGGTCTGCCGCCGTGGCCAGCGCTATCCGACGAGCTGTTGAGGTCATTGTCTGTTTCTCGGAATGGTGACCCGAAGTGACTGATGGCACGTTTTGGGCTATTGCAAGTAATCGACGGCACCTCCATGCACGTCTGCCGTTTGGGGATGAGTTTATTAAGTGATCGGACGGACTTTCAGCTTGGAGATGACATCGCAGAAGTGGGACGTGAGACCAGGGGGCGGAGTGCAGGTCTTGGCCAGCTCATTATCCTAATCAGGTAAGGCGGGGCTGAATCCTTCAGAGTTGCGGCGCAGGCTTCCAGCGTTCGGAAACCAGCCAACCAGCCCTACGAACAGTGCTGATGAGCTAGCTTTGTCTTGAGGAGAGATGAGAGAGATCTTCGTTGCGCAGCAAGCTAGGCTGCACGTGGCGATAGTGAGGGCCAAGCTTTTCCTCTCATCCAATGGAACCGGGCAGCTCTCACTCACTTGGCCTGGCTGCGGTAGTCTGAGACATTGTGCATCATTCACCAACAGATATCAATCATTCTCGAATGGGAAATATTCTGAGATGCATGTCACTTATTCAGCGCCCGGAAGAGATAAATGAGTCCACTCGCGGAGATGGGCGAGCAGTGACATTACGGGTGGAGTCAACGATCTGAAGTTGAATCTGTCTCCAACAACATGAGAGTCTCCAATAATCTCAATGCGAGCTGCGAATGACAACTCTGTCGCTCTCTATTCGATTCGCATGCGGAGACCAAATTGAGGATTTATCTCAACAGCGAGTAGGTATTCAGTTTCTAGAAACCAGCAATTCAATTGCAAATTGATCTAGGCTTGGGCGTGGGGGGCTGGTGCGGGTCATCAGCCCTCTGCGGGCCTCAACCCACATCGCTTCACAGCAACAACCATCCTCGATAGTCTAGTGGTGAGGATATCGGCTTGTCATTACGGCAAAGCGCCGGGGACCGGGGTTCAATTCCCCGTCGAGGAGAATTCACTTCATTTTTGCGCTTTTTGCTCTTCGAAGTGTTTTATCATAATATCGTGAGACCTCACAACACTCCTTTATGGTTAGTGGGGAAGAGAAGGTAACCATGTGAATCTCAAGTTGTACAGTGCTTGTCTTAGAATAGAGAAGCAGAGTTCTTTTTCACGTTGAAAGATGAAAAGGAACGATCTGACTCTTGCATTATAATTTAAGTGTTCTTTTTGGTATGCAAAGATGTTGATTGAGTACGTGGGTCATCTATAATTGGTTGCATCTACAAACCTATAAAACCACATTCTTTGAAAAGCCCTAGGCCGAGGTTCAATTCCCCGTCAATGGAGATATGATCCTGATTTTGTGTATGTCTAGCCTTGTGGGTGTTATTAGGACATTATGAGATTGAACAAATGCTCAACGGCTTTCTCGAGTTAAACGGAAGGGCGCCAGGTAGCTTGAACGACTTCTAAAGCTTACTACTCACGAGTAGTAGATCTTTAGCTCTTCGCTCCTAATGACACTCTTCTAAATAATCAATTAGATCAGTGCTGACTCCTGTGAGAACAACCCAATCAAATGATTGTGACAATCCTTGTGGTGGAAGTTGTGTAGTCCACCGCAGAGTTCAAGGCCCCTGCCCCAATTCTCACCGCCACATAGTCACACCCGGTGCGGTCTTTCAGCTTCCGAGCCTCAGAACAGGCTGGCCGTTCGGAAGCCAGCAGGTATATCCCGGAAAAGCTCCGGTTCCCAGATTCCGACTTCAATCTTGAGGCAAGGACGAGGAACAATAGGACCTCATCTGCAGCAG